AAATCCCCGGCCCAGCCCTTTTTTATTTTGAGGCAAGATGTTGCTGAGTTGTCCAAGCTGGGCTCTTCCTGCCTAGATCTCCAAACCTCCCAGGGTGCTGAGATTATAGGCATATGCCACCACATCTGGCAAAATCTTTTCTTTAGCACTATTTTTCTAATGGCTTTTTTTTTTTTTTTTTGGTACTGGACCTTGCGCTTGCAAGGCTGGCAGCAGAACCACTGAGCTAAATCCTCGGCCCCAATGGCTTTTTTTTGAGACTGGGTCTCACCATGTAGTTTAGGCTGGCCTAGCACTCCTGTTGCTTGCACTGACCTTGAACTTACAGGGAGCCTCCTGCCTCAGCCTCCTCAGCACTGGGATTATAGGTGTGTCCCACCACACCCAATTCTATTGGTTTTTTTATCTGGGGTTTACCAGACTTCATTGTTGCCTGTATTCTTTTTTTTTTTTGATAGGGGGAATCAACTCAGGGACCTTGTGCTTGTGAGGGAGGCAGCGGCACCACTGAGCTAAATCCCGGGCCCATCCAGCTGTATTCTTAAATATTTTCTCTAAAAATATTAGGCTCTCTAGGGGCCAGGGATTTAGCTCAGTGGTTTCGCCGCCTGCTGCGCAAGCACAAGGACCTAAGTTCGATCCCTGGTACAAAAAACAAAAACAAAACAAAATATTAAGCTCTCTATAGAAAATAAAGGATCTATATGAGCATTCAGATTTGATTTCATATTTTACTGGAACAGTGCTTGCTTCTCCTTTTTTGGGGGGGGGCAGGGGGGGCAGGTGGAGTAACTGGGGATTGAATCCAGGGCCTTCACACTGTTTTAAGACAGGATCTCACTAAGTTGCACAGGCTGGTGTCAAACTTGGTGTCCTCCTGCCTCAGCCTCCCAAGTAGCTGGGACTCTAGGAACAGGCTTTTATCTCTTAATTTTTAATACAAGTGTGTAAATATCAATGAAATAACTTTTAAAATAAACTACCTCAGGGGCCGGGGATTTAGCTCAGTGGTTTTGCCGCCTGCTTCGCAAGTGCAAGGACCTGAGTTCGATCCCCGGTACCAAAAAATAAAAATAAAAAGAAATAATAAACTACTTCAAGCGTAAGGAGAAATGTGATCATATTTACAATAATTTATACTATTAAAACTTGAAAATGGGGCCAGGGATGTAGCTCAGTGGCACCACACCTGCCTGGCAAGCACAAGATCCTAAGTTCGATTCCTGGTACCAGGAAAAAAAAACTTGGGCTAGGGTTGAAACTCAGTGCTGTAGCACTTGGCTAGCATGCAAGTCTGTGGGTTCTGTCCCCATAGACAACCACCAAAAAAAAAAACTTCAAAGTTATCCATCAAGAAATTAAATTTCTTTTTAAATGATTAAATATATAAGTTCTATGTTCTACAAGTGAAGACTTATTGTAAGTACATTGTACCTACAGATGAATCCCATTATTATAAGTTCCAAGATACCAACCAGATTCTAAGATTTGGACAGGACTCTGGCAACCTTTTTTAAAAATGGCAAAAGTATGGCTGGGGATTTAGCTCATTGGCACTACACCTGCCTCACAAGTACAAGGTACTGAGTTCGAGCCTCAGTACCACACACACAAAAAAGTATGCAACCTAATTACCACATGTGAACCTGTGTATAGGTGTAAATGGGAAACCAGGAACTACTGATGCCGATAAGGTGTACATCAGCATTTCCTGGTACTGAATCTTCAAGTAATGACTGACATAATTCAAGTAATGATGGTATCTCCTTCCTTAGCTTAGGTTAGACCCTGTCTGCATCTATCACGTCTTGGTCACTAGGTAAAGCTATATGTTTCTTAGTGCCTTACACTAAAGAATAATGGCAATTGTTAAACATAGTGTTATGGTCACCGTTAAATTTTCAAGGTTTTTCATACATTGGAATTTGTTGAAATAGGATTTGACCTCTATTGAAATTGTGTGCCCTTAACTTGTACATATCCTGTCAAATATTTGTTCCTTCTTGAAATAAGCATACAATAATTGTAGTTTTTTAGAAGGAATGTATAAACTTTGGAGGAACAAATCCTAAATACAAAACAGACTGAACTTAACTTGAGTAACATTCATGAGGCAGTTTGGATACTTGGATTTTTCTTTTTCTTCTAGTGAAGCAGAATCAAGAAAATCTGTTGCTGAATCATGAGGCATTAAAGCTTATAAAGAATATTCTGACATTTGAGAAATTAAGAATTTTTCTTCCCTAAATATTTTTAAAAATTTATATTGCATACTAACTCAAGAGTTTTCTGGTAATAGATCTTGTTCTGGGCTAGAAAAATGTGAGTACAGATTATGATGTTCATCTCTGCCAGTAACTCAATAGGAAGTTTCAGGTGATCATTTTGTCCTCCATTGATTTCTCCTGTTCTGGTTAATGTGGTACAAACTAACCTAGATTCTGTTGTTCTGTCCGATTTACGAGGGTTTAAAATGATAAAAACTAGTGAGAAGTATAGCTCTTGAGATTGTGTCCTTACGTTTTGATTAAATGACATCCATCATGGTAAAAAAAAATTAGAATTTTACACACAAAGGGCAGCAGTATGGTTTAAAAAGATACATTGCAAGGAATGGATCTGTTCCTTATGATTCTAGGATTAATACAAAGCATCTATTTTCTTATTACCACCTATCAGAAAAAGAGGACCTTGGAGGAGTGATTAGGATTCTGAGATCCTTTTCAACCTTCTAAAAGTGGAAAGAGTAGAGTTTTATTTGTAGGCATGAACTAGGGCCTGCACTATGATGTCTTATCTTTTCTGAGGGCATACATAGCACATTCTCATAAATTGTTATGGTTGAAAACAATTGGATCCAAAAATTTACTTTTCTGATTTATTCCACAAAAGCTATCCTCCCCCTCGCCCACATATTGACTATTGTAATTTGACAGTTATCGTATGAGCCTACTGATACCAGCTGCCTTAATGATTCTGAAGTAGTTGCTTGGACTCTTTCTCCTTAGATTATTTATTTATTTATTTATTTATTGGTACTGGGGATCGAACTCGGGTCCTTGCGCACAAGTGGCAAAACCACTGAGCTAAATCCCTGGCCCTATTCCACTTTTAAGAAAAGAATACTTTAGTACAAAGGGTGATTGAAATATGCAGTGATTTTTTTTTTTTTTTTTTTGAGCTAGGGTCTCACTGTGTAGTTCAGGCTGGCCTTGAACTCACTGTGTAGCCCTGGATGGCCTTGTACTTGTGACATTTTTCTTGCCTCAGCCTCCTGAGTGCTAAGATTACAGGCGTGTGCTACCATGGCTAAACATTTAAAGTTTTAAAAAATTTCCTACACCAAAAGACACATTGTTATTAATCCCACTCAAAGTACTCCCCCCTCTTTGAAGACACTTATCCTCTTATTCTTGGCCACTTTGTGAAGCAGATCTGGAAATTTTCTTTCATGAAAATCTCTGTATGATGAGATCAAAAATATGGTGAATGCTGCCTTCTACAGAAAGGCAGGCTTATAAAAACATTACAGTGAGTCTTTATCTTGTCACTGAATCAGCCACCTGTGACTTATCTCTTCCCCAAAGTCAAAATGACCATGATATGTAAAGTTTGAATTCATTCTGTACATTGAGGAAATCATGGCAGTGCACCAAAGACACAAAAGAGGACTTCCAGAACTGCTGCAGAAAATTGCAAGAACAATTGGATAAATGTGTTTGAAGCGTGTGGAAAGAGTGTTTTGAGGGGGATAGGTGTCAGTGTGTCTTTTACTATAATAATTTGTTTTGGTTTTGTTCTGTGTTTCCTTTTTTTTTTTTGGTGCCAGGGATCGAACTCAGGTCCTTTGCGCTTGCGCAGCAGGCGGCGAAACCACTGAGTTAAATCCCCGGCCAATGTTCTGTTCTTTTTTGAGAGTCTTGCTATGTAGTTCAGGCTGGCCTTGAACTCACTGTGATCTCTTGCTTCAGCCTCCCAAGTGCTGGGATTGTAGGCATGTACCACCAAAACTGGCACTGTAAACATTCATTGTATGGTTCTGTCACATTTCATATATTTTTCACTAGTTTTTGATTTCCAACTTAGGTATATTTGCATATGTGTGTGTATGTATGTGTATGTGTGGTACTGAGGACTGAACTCAGGGCCTTTGCACTGAGTTTCGTTCTCAGCCCATTACATCTTTTATTTTTATTTATTTATTTTGGTACTGGGGGTCAAACTCAGGACCTTGTGCTTGCAAGGCAGGCGCAGTGCCACTGAGCTAAATTCCCAGCCCCCTACATTTTTTTTTTTTTTTTTAGGTACCGGTGATCAAACTTGGGACGTTGTGGTTGCGAGGCAGGCAGTGGAACCATTGAGCTAAATCCCTGGTCTACATTTTTTATTTTGAGACAGGGATCACTAAGTTGTGCGAGCTAGGTTCAACTTGGGATCCTTCTGCCTCAGCCTCCCAAGTAGCTGGGATTATATATGTGCAGCTGTAGAAGGATCACAAGTTGGAGCCCCAGCCTGGGCAACTTAGTGGCTAGTGAGCCCCTATCTCAAAGTTTCTTTTTTCCACATTTTCCCCACATATTCAGTAATACAGTAGTGCTAAGTTGTTTAGCTCTTTTATTATTTAAATCTTTGTTGGCTACAGTATAGAGTAGATGCCGGCATATTGGCACACTCTTATAATACCTGCACTCAGGAGGCTAAGATAGGAGTCCAAGGCCAGCCTGGGCTACATAGTGAGTTCAAGGGCAGCTTAAACTACATAGTGAGACGTTTCAAAAATTACTTCATATACTTAATCCAGGTAGAATTTCATGAAAGACATTAAAAGTTTGATAAAAGAAGAATAAGTAATATCCCAATTTTTAAACTTTCTTTTTTTATTGTAGTTTTTTTCTTAAAATCTTTATAATCCTTTACACATTATAATCTTCCTTATAAAGTTGTATTTGTGTATCCTTTAAGTAATTGCAATGTTTTTTCTTCTCTTCACCTCTATTTAGTCCAAAAGAAACTCTTCCTTCAAAACCTGTAAAGAAAGAGAAGGAACAGAGGACACGCCATTTACTCACAGACCTTCCTCTCCCACCTGAGCTCCCTGGTGGGGATCCATCTCCCCCAGACTCTCCAGAGCCAAAGGCAATTACACCACCTCAGCAACCATTTAAAAAGAGACCAAAGTGAGTTTTTGGAGAGATCTATTCTTCATTACAGCTTTCCCTCTTACTTTTGGACTAAGTCTCGTATGTTTCTTCCAGTCTATACCAGTAAAATCATAGAAATTTTGTCCTATCAAGTGTATGTTTTGTTTTTATGACCAAAAGCCTTTCTAGGAAGTCCTGTTCGTCTGTACCTGCAGATACCTAGCTAGCTCTGGTTTCGTTTTGTTTTTAAAGAAGTTGAGTATTTTATTTATGTCTTATTATGCTGCAAAGCTGTTGCTTCTGTGTATAAAAACAGCCCCAACCAATGCAGTCTGTTGTAAAATTAAGAAAGTTGTTGTTCATCTGACATTGTGCAACTGACATAGTCCTCCACCCCCAGTGGAGGGAATTTTTCCAAGGGGAAGATCATTTTAAGTATTTCCACCCAAATCCAGGGAGAAATGTAAGTTATGACATGGTATAAGGCTTATGATAACATTGTTATCCTTGAGTTACATAATTTTTATAACTAGTTTTTACCATGGATAATTTCATGAATTCTGAATATCAGTACAGCCTGCTAGGTGTGGTGGCGCACACCCATGATCCCAGCACTTGGGAGGCTGAGGCAGGAGGATCACTGGGAATTCAAGGCCAGCCTGAACTACATAGTGAGACCCTGGCTCAAATCCCACCCCCCCAAAAATAAAACCCTACAGCCTAATCTAAAAATCATAAGTGTGGAGCCGGTGCGGTGATGCATACCTATAATCCCAGCCCTTAGGAGGGTGAGGCAGGAGAATTACCACAAGTTGGAAGCCAGCCCATGCTACATAGTGAGTTCAAGGCCAGTCTGAACCACTGAGCAAAATCCTGTCTCAAAAATAAAAATCATAAGGTATATATAAAAAAGATGCACATTGTGTTTATGTACATTCACTGGGGAGTTAAGGGGTGCTTCTGTCTAGGAGCAGTGTTGAGAGCCATATCTTTTCCATTGATACAGTATTGCTAAAAGTTGTCATCTCAAGTCTTCTGTCCACCCCCAATTGCATACACTTCTGGAAGAAATCAGTTCACACTAGTTTATTTTGGGTGCCATTTCACCCCTCAGTTGATTTCACCTATGTCTCATAATCTTCTTTGCTCATGAGCTCAACTAGTTCTGAAGGGTCACTCTCTATCATCTTGGTCAGCCAGCCATCTTCCTAACAAGATTTGTTGAAAAGCCCTTGATTTTCTGCAAGTGCTTCATTAATTTCATTACTACTCCTGACAGAGGAAAACAGAGTTCACTGGCAGCTTTCATACTTTCCAAAGCACCAAACTCGTCATGCTTTTTCAGTTTTGTCCCCCCTTTGGGCAGACTACAGTAAATAACACCGTTCATAGCTTCCTGTGCAAAGTTGCTGATTCCCACTGTTCACTACATTTTTTGTTGTAATCCATTCGTGTTTCTCTGAATTTATGCACTCTGAGCAGACCCAGTGCAGTTGCACTGGGCAGGGTGTGGAGGGCACTGAGGCTTCGAGTTGGCTGTAGGCTGCAGTGTGCATACTTCCAGCCACTTGTAGTGCAGCTTTTTTAGAGACAGGGTCTTGCTGTGTAGTCCAGGCTGACCTCAAACTCATAACATCCTCCTCCATGAGCCTCCCTCAGCAAGTGCTGTGATTACAGGTGTGTGCCCCTATGCCTGGCTTAACTTTTAGCATTTTTCTGTTAATAATAAAAATAGTTACCACTTAATAGAGCCTATGTTATTGCCGGAGATCTTTTTTTTTATGGTAAGCCTTGAATGTAGAGATTCTTTGCCTCTTACAGTTGAAGCCAGTACTCAAGAGAGGTCAGAAGTAAGCAGCAAATCTGTTATTCAATTGTTTTAGCCATGGCGAGACTGTTTATTTTATAGTTTTATTTCTGCCTTTTCAATAATAAAACACCTGGAAAATATAGGAACCAGTGAAATCATCATTAAAAAACTGTTTTGGGGGCTGGGGATTTAGGTCAGTGGTTTCACCGCCTACTGTGCAAGCGCAAGGACCCAAGTTCGATCCCCGGTACCAAAAAAAAAAAAAAAAACAACTGTTTTTGTTCTTAGAATTTGTTGTCCTCGCTATGGAGAAAGACGACAAACAGAAACCGACTGGGGGAAACGCTGTGTGGACAAGTTTGACATTATTGGGATTATTGGAGAGGGAACGTATGGTCAGGTATATAAAGCCAAGGACAAAGATACAGGTAAATATTTTGCCCAACATGGCCTTGAACTTATGATTGCTATTTGTTAGAGAATAGGAGAAAACTTGAATATAAAATGAACTTTTAAAATTACTGGTATAATTTAATCTGCCATTTTTAGGTAGGCCTAACTGAATATTGAGTTACTAACTCTCCAAGCCTTAAAAAAAAATCAGAGACAAGGAAGGGAACATAGAACCTGGGTTGTAGCTCAGTGGTAGAGTGCTTACCATGTACGTGTCCTGAATTCAATCCCCAGCACCAAAAGGAAAAGGGAACAATAGGAAGGGCATAGAAAACTGACTTATGATGGGGACTGAAAAATGCTAATTGATAATAATGATTTGAATTTGTTTTGACAGGAGAACTAGTAGCTCTGAAGAAAGTGAGACTAGACAATGAGAAAGAGGGCTTCCCAATCACAGCCATACGTGAGATCAAAATTCTTCGTCAGCTAATCCACCGAAGTGTTGTTAACATGAAGGAAATTGTCACAGATAAACAAGATGCACTGGATTTCAAGAAGGACAAAGGTACTAGCAAAGAATCATAGTGCTTGCTTCGGCAGCACATGTACTAAAACTAGCAAAGAATCATATTTCCACAGGGTAGATTGGTACAATTTTATTTTCTTAGCTTGTTTGGCTATGTGAATTTTTATTTTTATTTTTTTAATTTTTAATTTTAATTTTTTGGTACCGGGGATCGAACTTAGGTCTTTGCACTTGCACAGCAGGCGGCGAAACCACTGAGCTAAATCCCCAGTCCTAACTATGTGAATTTTTATTTGAATCCAGGGCCTTTGCACTAAGCTACATTTTCAACTCCTTTTTTTTTTTTTTTTTTTTTTTTTTTGGAGATAGGGTCTTGCTAAGTTACTAAGTTTGCCAAGTTGTGTGCAAACTTCACAACTTTCTGCCTCAGCCTCCCAGAGTGCTGGGATTATAGGTGTGTACTACCATGTGCAGCTTCTACGTGATATTTTTATGTGTGGGGTTTTTTGTTGTTGTTTTTTCCTTTTTTTTTTTTTTTTGATACGAGGAATTGAACTTGGACTTCTGCTTGCCAGGCAGGCACTGCACCACTGAGTTACATCCCCAGCATATGTGAGGTTTTTAACAGGTTGTATTAAAGCCGTAACTTTTTTTTGTAATCTATACCAGACTTAATGCTGGAAGATTACTTTTATGCTGAATAGTACTCATTTTCTCAAATGTCTATTCTTCATCAGTATACTCGTTTTACCTTTAAAATTTGTATTGGATAGATAGGATCTGCTGTAACTCGTAGTAAAACCAGCAGCTAAACACTGTAAGATTATCTTCTAATCAACCTTTCCTAGTTTTTTGTTTTGTTTTTCATTTTTTGAGTTTTGTTTGGTCTTTCTGTTTTGTGTTTATGTGTGAGAATCCATCCTAAGGCCTTTCATGTGCTAAGCACATGCTCTTAACACTGAGCTAAATTCTCAAGTCCTAGTTTTGTGTGGGTGTGTGTTTTGTTTGTTTGTTCTTTAGGAGACAGAGTCTCACTGTGTAGTTCAGGCTGGCCTGGAACTTACTATGTGCCCCAGGCTGGCCCAGAGTTTGCAGCAATCCTCCTGCCTCAGCCTCTCGGGATTACAGGCATGTATCACCATGCCTGGGTTAGGTCCTCTAGGTTTTAGGAGGGGTTATCTTTTCTTTTTAAAAAAATTACACAACAATGATGGAAATTAAAACCCAGATTAGTGAGACTTAGGCTGGAGGATCACAAGTGTGAGCCCACCATGGGCTCGGAGACTAAGCAAGACCCTGTCTGAAATAAAAGGGCTGGAACAGTATGCTCAGTGCAGAGACCTAGGTTCAATCCCCAGGACTAAAGATACAATGGAATATTCAGACTAATCAGTTACTGTTATTTTTACATCATCCCTTCTAGTTATTCTCCGTATACATCCATATTTCTATACTGATAGAGTTTAGAATTCAAAGCAGGTATTCCCAGAAAGTTTTTTTATCAGGTCATATGGTTTGATTTCATAGAGTTGTAACTTTTGTTTCTATTTAAGATAGAAGCACGTTTTCATACTTAACTCTTGAAGTAATTTATACATGACATCATCTTATAACAAATCTGAAAAAGGTTTAGATGTGGGCAATTGAAGATAGAGTCAAGGTGTCTGTGAATATAGTCTGGAGTTTTCGAAAATAATGAATATAAAAGAAAAAAGATAATAGGTAAAGTTAAACTGGACTTGTTTACTGAGCCTTAAGGATGGTGACACTAGAAGAATAGCAACCCTAATTTGATAGTTTTAAAGCAAATAAAAGGAAATTCTGGTTATAGAACAGTATATAGGTAAATTAGTAAAGGTTAGATCCGAACAGAGTTAAGAATATTAGGTATATTCCTTGGTGTATATAATCTTTCTGATTATACAGTAATACATAACTAGTTTATGTAAGGATGCAGGAGAAAATGTTAATTGGTTGGTTTTGGAGAGGGCCTTTTCATCCATGCCATTCTGTACTATAAATCATTTACCGTGTGTAATTCATCTTTTAAAAATCACAAGAGCTGGGCATGGTGGCGCATGCCTGTAATCTCAGCACTCAGAGGGCTGAGACTGGAGGATCACCGTGAGTTCAAGGCCAGTCTGGGCTGCATAGTGAAACCTGAAACCCTGTCTCCAAAAAAAAAAAATCACAATAAATAAATGGATGAATGAAAATCACAATAAGTAAATGGATAATGAATGTGATGCATGGAAAATATTGTAGAAAAATTGAAATTCTAGAAGAGGAGATTTTTAAAAATGGCAATCACTTCCCTCCCACTCCATCCCAGTACCATCATTTGGAGAAAACCACTGTAGTATTAACATTTTTTCTTTTTTTGGTACCGGGGATTGAACTCGGGTCCTTGTGCTTGTAATATTAACATTTTGATGTATTTGCTTCTAGTACTTTATATATGTATAGTACTTTTTAAGATAACTGAGATCCAAGTATATTTAGTGCCATGTAACTTGTTACAAATAATTTCTCATGAAAATATTTTTATGACATAAAGATACATGAAGCCAAATTTATTTTACCAGTCCCTATTGAGTAGTTAGTTGCTAGCTCTTAAAAATATAATCCTGATGTGCAAATGGATGCATGTAGTCCCAGGTAGTCAGTAGGATCACTGAGCCTAGGAGTTTGAGCCATAGTAGGCATAATAGCAGGATCCTGTCTCAAAAACAAACAAAACACAGTAGCATCCTTTGAGCCATCTTTGAGTATAAATCTTTGTGTTACGACTTTTTTAGTTTTATTTTGGTAGTAGGGATTGAACCCAGGGTCTCACGAATGCTAAACATGTTCTATACCACTGAGCTATAGTCCCAGCCTGATTTATTTTCTTATATAGCTTCTTAGACATAGAATTACTTAAAGAGGTTTTTGTATTTAATGTCAGATTGCTTTGATTGCTTTTAAGAAATATGGTAGCAATTTATTTATTTAATTTTTTTGGTACTCAGGATCGAACTCGGGTCCTTGCGCTTGCGGGGCAGGCGGCGGAACCACTGAGCTAAATCCCCGGCCCTAGCAATTTATGTCCCATCAGTGTCCTCCATAACACTGTCTTGCACCAGTGACATTGTGGTCAGTGATGACCACGTCCACAACACTGTATGCTGTCTAGCCTAGGTGTAGAGTAGGCTGTCCTGGACAGTAAAATTACCTAAAAATGCATTTCCCAAGAGTTAAGTGATGTGTGATTGTGTATATTTTGAAAAAATTGTCACCTAGCTAGATAGGTGAAATATGGTGTTACTTTGGATTACATTCCACATATTACTTCTTGGTTGGTTGGATGGTTGGTTGATTTTGTGGTAGTGGGGATTGAACCCAGATCCTTTGCACTAAGCTACATCAACAGTCCTTTTTATTTTTTCATTTTGAGATAGGGTCTTGCTAAGTTTTCAAGTGGCCCCGGCTGGGCCCAAACTGGGGATCCTCCTGCCCCAGCCTCCCAAAGTGCAGGCATGTGCCATTATTCTTGGTTTAGGTCTAGTATTTCGTACATTACATTATTTGGCTCTGTCATTCACTCTCCAAAAAAGGAAAAGATAGTGTGCATTTCAAACTGTTCACAACTACTTATTGTTTTCTTTTATCTACTTATGAATTTAGGAGGTTTAGTTAGATATTCACCTTTTTTTTCAATTCTAAAATACTGTAAATTTCACTAATAGTTTATGCCAAATACACTCTGCTGCCCCTGGCATATTATGTGTATCCTGTTAACTGAGGTAAAGACCTTTATAAAACTAGTCCTAAACAATATGTAATAAAAATCACATGATTGCCTTACAAATAAGACTATTTACAACAGGCAGCAGACTGGATCTACCCCAGTGTTTGTAATTTGCTGATTTAGATCATCAAAAGTCTGTTAATACCACCTGATCATGACAGTTGTTCCCTCAAGAGGTAAGCAATCCAAAGAGTACTGGATTCAGAATCAGAAGATTTAATTCAAGTATTAGTCCTGTTATTTATTAGAATGGGCAAATTATTTAACTATTCTTAGTTTTAATTTTTTCATCTATAAAATTAAGGGATTATTCTAGAGAGCCTTATAGACACCTCCAAAATTACATTAAAATTTGAGGTACTGTGATTTCAGCATTCTTTTTTCTTATTTTTAATTTTTTGATTTATGCAGGTGCCTTTTACCTTGTGTTTGAGTATATGGACCATGACTTAATGGGACTGCTTGAATCGGGTTTGGTGCACTTTTCTGAGGACCATATTAAGTCATTCATGAAACAGCTAATGGAAGGACTGGATTACTGTCACAAAAAGAATTTCCTGCATCGGGACATTAAGTGTTCAAACATTTTGCTGAACAACAGGTAATATAGTAACCACATAAGATTATATACTTCTTTCTCTTCTGAGTTACAGGTAGTTAATTGGGATTATCAGTAGACCTAGTAGTACAAGTTTTTCCTCTTATGTATATCTGATATTTGCACATTAGGAACAATTTATGTTAGGGGTACTCTCATCTTCCAGGCCTACAGACTTAGTGTTGGGAAGGAAATAACAGTGATGGGAATTTTTTTTCAATTGCAAGCACTGTAGGGAATCACTCAGATCCTACAGGAATAATGAGAGCTTTTTGCCGTAGTCAGTAGGTAATGTCACAGCCCTATTCAAATTTAAATGTACATTGGATTCTTGCTGATACTCTTCTTGTTGAGTGGAGAGAAACATCTTCCTCTTTTATCTGCTCTTGAACCTTTCTCAGTTACTGTCTTTCAGAGTAAACAAGTTGTGGTTGATATTGACCTCTATTCCATACCTCCAGGTTTTAATAAAAGCGAACCATTAGGAGGCTGGTATTAAGTCTTCAGAAGGTTTTATTGTGTGTTTTCTTCCTTTTTGTTTATTGCTCACCTGCATTGGTAATATCATATACCTGATGCACATTAGCCTTTGTTAGTAGCCCCATCTGTTGAAAGGTAAAGAACAAACCTGGTACCACTGAAATCAGAGCAGTGCTTGGTTCTTCAGGTAACTGGGTTATCCAGATCCATTTTCATCTGAATTAATCATTGTTTTAAACATTACTCCTGTTCAATCCTATCTAACAAACATGTAGGTAAGAATATAGAATAATTATGATATATTTCCTGTCTTTTTGAAGGGGGATAGCCAACCATGCAGGATGACCTGAGATTGTTCCTGTTTTAGCATGAAAAAGTCTCTTATGCAATGGGTGCTCACTAGGGAGTTCAGGCTGGTGGAGGACTTGTACAAATTAATTGTTCTATTCAGGAAATATTTATTAAGCCTGATGTTTTTCCCCCTTGACTTTGGAAATACCTGGAAAGATATACCCTTGAGGAGTGAATAGGAATTTTTCAGAAATACTGACAATGGGGATCAGATTTCTAGGTAGAAGACTACATGCCCAAAAGCATGTAACTACAGAAAGGTCATGTTATGCCTGGAAAACTGTGAGCACATCAGTATCGGTGGAACAAGGAGAGTAAAGCACACAATGGCAAGATATAAAGCAGGATGGTTACTAGAAGCCAATTTAAGGATTTTTTTTTGGTACTGGGGATTGAACTTGGAACCTTGCACTTGTGAGGCAGGCGCTAGAACCACTGAGCTAAATCCCCGGCCCTAATTTAAGGATCTTGTAAATCCTACTAAGGAGCTTAAATTGTCTTGTAGTTGACAGGGAGCCACTGAAGGGTGCTGATCCAGTTTAATTTTAATTGTATGAGTACTGTGTTATTTTAAATTGTAATTAAACACCTTTATTAAGACAGAACATGAGCCAGGCGTGGTGGTGCACACCGGTAATCCCAGCACTCAAGAGGCTGAGGCAGGCAGATTGCCATAAATTCGAGGCCAGCCTAGATTACATAGTGAGCTCAGTGCCAGCCAGAACTACAAAGTGAGACTCTGTTTCAAAAAAAACAAAAACAAAAACAGAACATATTGGTAAAAGGTTGATCCTTAAACCAGATTGTGGCACATAGCTGTAATCCTAGCTAGCTACTTGGGAGGCTGAGCTGTAAGGTTCAAGATATCAAGACTAACCTTGGCAATATAGTGACAGCTTGTCTCAAAAATAGGAAAACAAGGGCCGGGGATTTAGCTCTGGTTTCAGTGCCTGCTGTGCAAGCTCAAGGTCCCGAGTTCAATCTCTGGTACCCAAAAAAAAAAGGAAAGGATGAATCTTTTTTGTTTTCCTATTTTTTTTTTTTTTTGGTACCGGGGATCAAACTTGGGTTACTTGCGCTTGCAAGGCAGGCAGCAAAACCACTGAGCTAAATCCCCAGCCCAATTCATCCTTTCTGATGTTCTCTGTGACTCAGAGTCGAAGGTTCATAAATCGTTTGTTTGTTTATTTATTTTTATTACTGGAGATCGAACTTGCGACCTTGTGCTTGCAAGGGAAGTGGCGGAACCACTGAGCTGAATCCCCAGCCCGAAGGTTCATAAATCTATATCCATAGTAAATGCTTTACCAAGAACTTGATGCTGGCTGTCATCTTGCAACTTTTTAGCCTAAAGTATTTATATACTTTCTTCTGTTCCCTTTGCTCTTTCCTGGAGGGGATGACTCACACAGCAAGGAGTACTTGCAGCTCTGCTTGGTGTCCTTTGTGGTGGGACCCCTCCCAGGCCCTGGCGTCCTGCAGTTAGCACACTTGAGGTTCAAAACTAAGCTGAACTCCCTCTTTACGTTGCTAAGCAGGGAGTTGGAGTCCCATGGATTGGGATCCTTCAGCCACTTAGCTCCTGTCTTCTCAGGTAGGGTGGCAAGAGGGCTAGGAAGAAAGGGCAGTTGACGTAAGAGAACAGGACTGGGCTCTGGATTGTTCATTATATTTTTACTACACAAGTATAAATGAGATCACAGTATTTTGGATATAGAGATGGCTGTTTAGAAACTGCTCTAATGATCACTATAAGAATACTGTAAGAGTCCTGTATGGTGTGGGACATGTCCGTAATCCTAGCTACTTGGGAGGCTGAGGCAGGACTGCAAGTTCCAGGCCAGGCTGGGGAACTTACTGAGACCTTGACTCAAAATAAAAATATTAAAAGGGGTAGGGATGTAGTTTAGTGGTAGATTGTCTGTGGGTTTGGTCCTTAATAACCACACACACGATATATATATATTCATATAGGTAGATATCTACAGGTATATAGATATGCATAGATAAAATGATAAATGTTTGAACTAACACAGGCCTTGCTAATAGGAGTGGACAGGATAGGGTTGGTAGATTGGTTCATGAGTAGACTTTGGTGGGTGAATGATGAGAATGAATAAGAGAAAGTATGAGTTTAAAATTTCTGATGTGAGAAACTGCCTAGGTGTGTAGCACTCCCAGTCATACATAATACAGATGAATGGGATGGGTGAGTGAAAAGCAGACATATCTTGTAGGTTCTGTTCTGCATCCAGGGTAGTGATATCTAACAGGCATATGGTCATGTGGGAACTTCAGACTAGCAATATAGATTTTCAAGTTAAAAAATACAGAAAAGATGCCAAAAATGGAAACCAAGACAAGACATGGTGGCACACACCTGTAAATCCTAGCACTTGGGAGGCTGAGGCAGGAGGATTGCTGCTAGTTCAAAGACAGCCTGAACTACATACTAAGAGCCTGTTTAGAAAAAAAAAAAAAAAAGAAAGAAAATGGGCAGGGGGTTTAGCTCAGTGGCGCTGTGCCTGCCTTGCAAGCACAAGGTCCTGAGTTCAATCTCTGGTACCAAAATAAAAATAAATAACAATATATGCCTTTAAAAACAAACCCATGGTCTCAGGAAAGATTCCTTGTACTTCTTTGTATAGAGTACATGTTATTCCTATGATTCATGTTATTCCTCTGACATAATAAACAACATAAAGTATTTCCGTTTTATGTTGCCAACGTTTACCAATACTTCCACACTTCTTGTCTCATAAGAGCATAATTAGAAGGAGAAACAAGTAGTCAGTAAAAGTGCTATCACAACTTTCTGTAGTAGGCTAATTTCATTCATATTTCATGGTTTTAGTACTTACTGTGAGCTAGGCAGGAAATAGCTAGGCACTGGTGATTCCAAGATCTTGTCTCTTTTATATCTGTTGCCATTTTAACTTTGTGTATCACCATGCCCTGCTTTTTTGGGGGGGTACTGGGTATCGAACTCGGGTCCTTGTGCTTAACCACTGAGCTAAATCCCTGGCCCAAATAATTTGGTGTTTCTAGTGATTTCTTTTTTTTTTTTTTTTTTTTAATTTTTTTGTTCCCGGGATCAAACTTGGGTCCTTATGCTTTCGAGACAGGCGGGGTAACCACTGAGCTAAATCCCTGGCCACCATGCCCTGCTTTAAGAGCTGATTTAATGAAAGATTTCATTGCTCATAGGTACTTTGTTTTGATACTTTGTCCCATTGCTCATACTTTGGAGAGCACTTCCTAGCATAGCTTCTTCTTTCTACTGTCTCATTGTTCTGCCTCATTTGGGCTATTAGGCACCAGAGATACCACCAGCCCCCCCATTAAAGTGTGAGTTGGCTTTTCATATATGAATATGAATTCATATGAGCATATGAGCATAATCTATATGAATATGTAATCATATAGATAGGCTTTAGATAGGCTACCTGAATTTAGATAAATATGATTGTTCCAAATCAGTTAATAAATGGGTTTTTAGATTTTAGGGTTTTTTGAGACAGAGTCTTGCTAAGGCAGGAGGATTGCAAGTTCAAGCCCGGCCTGGGCAGTTTAGCAGATAAATAATGAATGAATGAATGAATGGGGATGTACCCCAGTACAAAGCCCCTGGGTTTAATCCTCAGTACCCAAAAAAAAAAAAAAAAAAAACCTTACATAAGTAAATTACAGACATCATTACATTTGAGGCTAGTTGGAAAAAAATTATTTCCTAGTAACCTTTTTTTTTTTTTTGGTACCGGGGATCGAACTCAGGACCTTGTGCTTTCAAGGCAGGCGGAAGAACCACCGAGTTAAATCCTCAGCCCCCTAGTAACTTTTAATAGTCAGGGGTTTTTTTTGGTTTTTTTGGTACCAGGGATCGCACTCAGAACTTTGCACTTGTGAGGCAGCCGCACTGCCACTGAGCTAAATCCCCAGCCCCCAGTTCATTTCTTACATGTTTTCAATTATTTGAGAAATGTCTTTTTGTTGCTAGTTTGTTCACACCAGAATCAGTCATTAGATTTGCTAGACCTCTTAAATCTTTCTTAATCTAGAACTCCCCATTCTTTTTTGTCTTCAATAACATTTAATCTGTCAGATTCTCAGCATTGTCAAAGAAATGTATAGACTATATATAGAAATATATAGAAATCAAATCCAATCAGGCACAGTGGCACACACCTGTAATCCCAGATACTTAGGAGGCTGAAGCAGGAGAATTGCAAGTTGGAGGCCAGTCTTGGCAACTTAGCAAGACCCTGCCTCAAAAATAAAAACGGTTGGGGTTGTTACTTCTTTTTTTTGGTATGGGGGATCAAACTTGGGACCTTGCGCTTGCAAGGCAGGCGCCAGCCCCGACCTGGGGTTGTTACTTCTGCACTCCCTGGATTCAATCCCCAGTACTGCCATACCAAAAAAAAAAAGAATAAGTCAAATCCAAAAATGCAGTAATGGCACTGGGTATGATGGTGCATGCCTGTAATCCCAGCAATCAGGCTGAAGCAGGAGGATAGCCATGAGTTTGAAGCCAGCCTGGGCTACATAATGAGTTCAAGTACAACCTGAATTACACAGCAAGACCCTGTCTCAAAAAACTAAAATAAGAAAAACAAAACAAAAAAATGCAGTAATGGTCTTTTAATAAAAAGCCTGAGGCATTGTAAACTGGGATAATCAAAAGAGGCTTAATTGGGGAAAGTGAGCATTGAATAGAAATTAAAAGAGCAGAGGTAAAAATTCATTTTTGTAATTCTTTTAACTCCTGAATTGGCTCCTTTTTTTTGAAGTGTGATTTGGGGACCACTGCTGTTACTACAAAATAATTGTTTTTTGTTTTACAGTGGACAAATCAAACTAGCAGATTTTGGACTTGCGCGGCTCTATAACTCTGAAGAGAGGTAAGGCATTCATCAAAATTATAAGTGGAGGCGGGGATTTAGCTTAGTCGTTCTATCACCTGCCTCGCAAGCACAAGGTCCTGAGTTCAATCCCCAGTACAAAAACAAAATTACAAGTGGGAAGGATCACTTGAGCCTAAGTGTTCAGGGTCAGGCTAGACCTTTGTTTCCAAAAAGTTAAAAAAAAAAAATATGTGGAAAATAGGAAAGAATCCTTTTATTCTTGAGTAGAGTTGGGGATATAGCTCAGTGACGCCACTGCCTGGCAAGTACAAGGCCCTAAGTTTGATTCCAGTACCCCCAAAAAAGCCTTTTATTCTTGAGTATCGTAGTATTCTGCAAATTGCAGTACCTGTCAGAGTTCCCTAATTACCTGAAAGTGTTACCACATAGATTTTAGAAATTAAATTCTGTCTAAATTCTTGAATTAGCCCTTGGCTCAAATAAGTCAACCCAAATTGGAATAAAAGTTATTTCTTCATCTCCCACTTCTGTCCTATTTACTTTGGGACAGTTAGGTTCATGTGTAGCTGTTTTAATAATCTCATCTTGCCGGGGATTTAGCTCAGTGATTTTGCTGTGCAAGGACCCGAGTTCAATCCCTGGTACAAAAAAAAAAAAATCTCATCTTCAGTTGGCAGCTGTGTCTATTTGCTTTTTCATCAAAGCCCATTGTAAATTTACATATAATGGTTTTACATTTCAGTCGCCCTTACACAAACAAAGTCATTACTCTGTGGTACCGACCTCCAGAGCTGCTGCTGGGAGAGGAGCGATATACACCAGCCATAGATGTTTGGAGCTGTGGGTAAGGTTCTCTTTACTTTCTTTTTCAACAATTCACGTATTGTTGCTGTATAACCTGTTTGCTTCTGCATGGGCTTTGTACGTTCTTCTTAGGGTCAAAAAGGTAGACACCCTTGTTCAATTTTTTTTTTTTTTTTGGTACAGGGGATCGAACTCGGGCCCTTGCGCTTGCGCAGCAGGTGGTGAAACAATTGAGCTAAATCCTCGGCCCTTGTTCAATATTTTTTGATATCTGAAATAGGCTTTTTAAAAAATACTTCTTTAATTTCTCAATTGTCTTTTTTTAAAAACTTTGTTTGAATTATTATCCAAATGATAAATCCAGGTAAAGTCCATAGAGAACAGCTGATTGTAAGTCTTTTAATTAAATATCCCTTTTCCATCTCTCTTGGATTTGTTTTCTTACAGTTTCCTTAGGGGAAACTAGGTCATTTGTTCTGTAGACTTCTCACAGTCTGGATTTTGTGTATTATATCCTTAATGGAGTATTTACTTATTCATTTATTTTTGACATGGTTCTTTATCCCTTTTATTTTCTGTAGTAGGTGAGTTCAAGATTGATTTTCAAGCACCCACTGACCTTATTTTGAGATGGTTTTGAGTAATTAACACAAGTTATGTAATCAGTGGCACAGTAAATTTGGGGGTGGGAAATGATAGGAGCCTCTAACCAGAGTAACAGTGTATTTTCTGTGGGTAACTTAAAATCAATAAAGTAATCCACTATAAATTAGTAGTTTTATATTAAAGCTTTATGGGGACAGTTCTAAACATGCCTGATAAAATACTCATCCCTACTAGGGAAGACTTACACACACAAAAAAGATTTACACATACATACTTCTTTAAAAAGATACAGTTGTCTTTTTTGAGATGTTATTAGCTATTGATGATTGGGGGGTCGGTTTTGAGACAGGTTCTTGCTTTGTAGTTGCTGGCCATGAACTCAGTATGTATGTAGCCCAGGCTGGCCTTGAACTCGCTGCAATCCTCCCACCTCTGCCTCCCAAGTGCTGGGATCACAGGCACCTGCCACCACGCCTGGCTTCATTTGAGGTGGTTTTGTACTGGCCACATTCTCATTATACCATTCCTTATTGGAATATTTATTTATTTATTTATTTATTTATTTATTTATTTATTTGGGGATTTTTTTTGTTTTTTTGTTTTGTTTTGTTTTGGTTTTTTTGGTACCGGGGATTGAACTCAGGTCCTTGCGCTTGCGCAGCAGGTGGCAGAACCACTGAGCTAAATCCCCGGCCCTCTTATTGGAATATTTAGATGACGATAACATCTGTGTGTCTGACCCCAGGTGCAAACTTTATAGAGAAGTTAAAGGTCAACTTTTTCATTTTATTTACCAGTTTTCAAAATAATGGCATGGTTGGGCTGGGGATTTAGCTCAGTGGTATAGCGCCTGCCTGGCAAGCGCAAAGCCCTGGGTTCGATTCCCGGTACCAAAAAAGAAAAGTGAAAAAAAAGACCAAAAAAAAAGCCCCTAAAAAAAAAATAATAATAATGACATGGTTTCCTACTGTTCTGTAAAAATGACCAGTGAGGATTTTTTGTTGTATATATTTTTGTTTCATTATAAACTCTTGAATTTAAACATTGATATATTTTAAAGCATTGTGGTTATCACCCTTATTCTTTTTTTTCTTTTTTTTTTTTTTGTGGCACCTGGGATCAAACTCAGGACCTTATGCTTGCCTGGCAGGCTCCATGCCACTGAGCTACATCCCCAACCCATCATCCTTATTCTTGTTTAAACTATTCAGTCTTTTGCCAATGGGAGTTTTGTCAGGTTATAGCGCAAGTTCTCTGGATGCATCATAGTCTTTTTTTTTTTTTTTAGTATATGTTCTGCTGAAGCGAGCACATCATCATAGTAGTCTTCAATAGTTTTCTGGTTCCAGGGTTATCCTGTTCATTTCCTGCCCAGACCTGGAATCAGCCATTTCCCTGAAGGAGTTCCTTTTAGTGAAAAATGATGTTTAGACACCACAGTGTGTCTGATAGAGGCATAACTTTTTTAAAGGGCCGTGTGTGTTATTTTTAATGTCCAACACACTGTCCTTGACCCTCATGCTTTATGATTTTGACATATACAGTATACCTCTTAAAGAGCAGATCACCTTTTCCCATTCTTACCCTTCCTCTGTTAATGTCAGTCTTTAAAAAGAGCACTACATGGGTTTTATTTCAAAATTCAGCAGAATGATGGAAAAAGGCCATAATTTCTAAATAGCCTACCCAAATTAAATGAAGCTTTAGTTAAATTTTACTGACTCAAGCTGGGTGTGTTTGTGTTCTGGACTATTTGCTGTAACTGTATTAGCATTTAAATTCTAACAACTAGGCTCTAAAGTTAACGCCCCATTAAGATGCATGGGGAAAGTTCATAGCTCTGTTGGTACTCTTATTTCAGTCTGTGCTACCCACCTCAGTGCTGTAGCAAAGGGTTGATTACATAATGAAGATATCTTCCTCACCAAAAGACTGAAAAAACATAAAAACAACTGGAAACAACTTTTTGTTTTTGGTACCGGGGATTGAACTCAGGACCTTGCGCTTGCAAGGCAGGTGGTGGCACCACTGAGCTAAATCCCTGGCCCCCTGGAAACAACTTTTTAAAATTAGCTTTCTTGGGCTTGGGATTTAGCCCAGTGGTTCCGTCGCCTGCCTTGCAAGCGCAAGGACCCAAGTTCAATCCCCGGTACCAAAAACAAAAAAAAAAAATTAGCTTTCTTTAAAAAGAAGCCCAGTGACTTTTTTGGTACTGGGAATTGAACTCAGGGCCTGGTGCTTGCCAGGCAGGCGCCACGCCGCTGCCAAGTGACTTACTGAATTGAGATGTGGCTTTACTTTTGAAGTGAACTTACTGCTTTTGTGATCCAGGTTAGTTTCTCTGAAGATACTTGTATAGTATCTTTACAGAGACTTACGTAATGGAGCTGTTCAGTTTACAAATCGGGAAAAAACTAGAAAGAGTGGTCTGAATACCTCACTATTCTTTGTGGGTTTTTCTTTTTTCCTCTTAGTTTACCAGTTGTTTTTTTTATTTTGGTACCGGGGATCGAACTTGGGTCCTTGTGCTTGAGCAGCAGGCAGCGAAACCACTGAGCTAAATCCCTGGCCCGTAGTTTACCAGTTGTTACAATATTGTATTTGGAACTTAACTTGGCAGTTGATGTTGGAGACAGAACTAAATTTTACTTTTACCCTTTTCATCCCTAAGGTTTAAGAGAATATTGGAAGTGAAAATTTTTCTTTTGTCATTTGATAAATGCTAATTTAACAATTAAATGCAAATATATTAGTAAGTGCCAATAAATTATTAAATACCTACAGAATGCTGTTAATCACTTTAAAGCTAGGTTTGTTTTACTTTCTCAGATTAAATCGAGCTAAAACATTTCAAAGTAGATCTACAAACTTAGTCTTGTATTTGTAAATGAAACTCATTTCAAAAGCACAAGTCAGCAGGGCATGGTAGCACATGCCTGTAATCCCAATACTTGGGAGGCCGAGGTGGCATGTGAGTTCAAGGCCAACCTGAAGTACATAGTGAGACTCTGTCTCAAAAGACAAAAAAAAGAAAATAATTCTGGCAGATAACAATAAATTGTTTTCTTTGCAAATACAGTGGGCCGAACATATTTTACCAAACAAATTAATGGCAAATTAGTATTTCCTTTATAGAAACTACTGAGCTCCCTTATAAAATTGTCTTTAGTTATTTTCTTATAGTAATGTGGTAGAAATGAAGGACTCTTGACTCCTTTTCTCTGCTTATAGACTGTTCTTTACAGATGGAAAAATTTCATCTGCAGGCAGATTTAAATACTTTATACCAGTTGTGGCAAACCAATGGCACACATGCTGCAGGGGGCTTTTTGTATCATTGAGAGCTCTAAACGGTTCACATCACAGCTTTATACGGTCTGTTTTCATTACAAGAAATTTTTTTTTTTTTAGGAAGTTCAGATGCTGAACTTCTAGTCTAGTTTACAACTAGATCTGATATCAGATGTTGTCTGATACTCTATAAAAGTTTGTTAAGACATACTTGAGGGCGGGGGATTTAGCTCATTGGTTTCCCTGCCTGCTGCGCAAGCGCAAGGACCCGAGTTCGATCCCCAGTACCAAAAAAAGAAAAAAGAAAAAAAAAGACATACTTGAAACAGACTCTGGGGATTTCTTTCTTGACCTCTCAATTTTACTCTTTGTAGGTGCATCCTTGGGGAACTGTTCACAAAGAAGCCTATTTTTCAAGCTAATCTGGAACTGGCTCAGCTGGAACTGATCAGGTATAGCTTGCAGGTCTTGATTTCCCAGGTGTGATAGGTAATCTAATCCTCTAATTTCTGAAACATTTCAGTTATTCTAAAATTTACAGCAGTACCTCGGTTCATAAATGCTTTTGTTTGCAAACAGTTTGGTTCACAAACAGAAGCACTTGGCAGAATTTTGTCTTTGTTTGTGAGCTCTGCATCAGGTGATGAACACAACCCTGGCCATCTTTCTCGCACAAACATGAACATAGCAGTCTTTCCCAGAATGATGGAATGAATTAAGTTTGTGAACCGAGACACCACTCTAAATTTCTACTAAATGATTATACAAGTAAATCTCTCTTTGCCCAATTGGGTTTACCTCTGTTTTGTCATGGTTTGTATGTGTAAAGAAGCTGTATTCCACATGCTATAAAATATGTATTTATTTATGTAAGAAATTATGTGTGTGTGTATACATACTTTTTGTTTGTTTGTTTTTTGGCTGCTAGGGATTGAACTCGGGGCCTGCACATGCTAAGCATGTGCTGTATCACTGATAGAATTCCCAACCTCTCCACATAATTTTAAAAGTCCTATCTTGTATATTTTATTAGTTCTTCAGATAACAGCATGCTACAGCTGAGTGTAGGGGTGCATGCTTATAGTCCCCAAGTACTCAGGAGGTGGACATGGGAGGGTCACATGAGCCCAAGGGTTCAGGGCCACCCAGGGCAACATAGCAAGACACATCTCAGAAACATTAAGAATAAAGCTAGGCATGGTGGTGCATGCCTATAATCCCAGCACTCCAAAGGCTGAGGCAGGAGGATCACTCAAGGCCAGCCTGGGCTACATAGTAAGTTTAAGGCCAGTCTGAACTATATAGTGAGACCCTGTCTCCAAAAAATAAAAAATAAAAAATGCATACTGTTTTCAGGATGGCTGATTTCTTCTTAAATTTGATTAAATTTACAGGGCTAAGGGTATAGCTCAGTGGCAGAGCATGTGCTTGCCAGATACAAGAGCTTGGGTTCAATTGCCAGCACCAAAAAATAAAAACAAATAAGATTAAAATTTAAACTTACTCAGCAGACAATTACTGAGTCGATTATAAATCAAATGACTTTTCTGTCAAACTTTATGATTTAGGGGAACGTAAGATAGAAGTTTAATATATATATGCATATTAAAATTAAACCTAAAATAAAAGATAAGGGGAAGGCCTGAGGTTAGGATGGAATTCGGATTCCCTTTTTTTTCTCCACAATAAAATTGAAGGGAAGAATACAACAAGCAAATGTAGATATTTTTTAAAAATAATATACCATAACTCATTGCTTATTACACAGTAAATTCTCAAGTATCAAAACTTCTAGTCTTGGTCTCTCATCTCACTTTTCCCTGTAGAACTCTGTAGAACCCACTCCTATAATTTCTCGTACTTGAAATTAATAATAACAGAACAAAATTGGTAATGAAAACTTCTTTGAGAGATTAAAAATGTGCTTTACAAAACCAAGTGTGTTGGGCTGGGGATTTAGCTCAGTGGTTCCACTACCTTCCTCGAAAGCACAAGGTCCTGAGTTCAATCCCCGGTACTGAAAAAAAAAGAAAACAAAATCAAGTATGAGGATTACTTTGGATTGTTATACCAGTATTTTTTATTTTTCTTTTTTTTTTTTTGGTACCGGGGATCAAACTCAGGTCCTTGTGCTTGTGCAGCAGGCAACGAAACCACTGAGCTAAATACCCGGCCCACCAGTATTTTTTCTTGTTGTTTTTCTATCCTATTCTTTCTATTCTTAAAACAGTAAAGTCATGTTTTACCTTTCTGCATACCCTCTAATATAATAAACAAAGATTGCCCAGTCCTCCGGAGGTAATAATTTCTGCTTCTAGAACCTGCAGAATTCAGGATGCTAACTTACTCACTTTCTTGCTCTTGCTTTTTGTTTTGTTTTCAGCCGTCTCTGTGGTAGTCCTTGTCCAGCTGTGTGGCCTGATGTTATCAAACTGCCTTACTTCAACACCATGAAACCAAAGAAACAATATAGACGGCGTCTACGAGAGGAATTCTCTTTGTGAGTTTGGCAAAAATGTATACCTCATTTCTGATCCAGCTTACATGGTACTTCCCTTTTTTCTGGCCTAAGGAGATAATATTGTCCCAGTTTATAATGTTGCACATTTCATATATGAATTATGAGTATATGAGTGTTATCACAGCCCTTTTCTCATCTAAGGGCTTTAGACAATAGAAAACCATTTTATTTTGAATAATACATAAATTTCCTTATAGTCCTTCTGATTTTCCCAAGGAAAAGAGAATGAAACTGGTGACTTCATGTTTTTTACCTGTATTTCAGCTTTTCGTTTCTTTCTTTTCTTGTTTGTTTGTTTGTTTGTTTGGTGAGACAGGGTCTAGCTATGTAGTTCAGGGTGACCTCAAACTCACAATGATCCTCCTGCCTCAGCCTCCCAAGTGCTGAGATTACAGGCGTCCGCCACCACACCCAGCTGCAGCAATTCTTAAATCCTGTGTGGGAGCATATTTGTTCACTCTCATTAGCCAGCTTCCATCTCCCTTTGCTCAGGATTGCATGGAGCTAGAAATTCAGAGCTCTTTTGACACAAGTTTACAAGTTTAAGAACTGTAGTGGTGCATGCCTGTAATCCTGTCACCCTGGAGGCTGAGCCAGGATCACAGGTTCAAGGCCAGCCTGGGCAACTTAGCAACTTGCAAAACTCTTTCTCAGAATAAGAGATAATAAAAAAGGTTGGGAGTGTAGCTCAGTACATAGGCCCTGGGTTTAGTCCCTCGTACACTATAGGGTCATTGTGAACTTGGTGTTTCTCTTTTCACAGCATTCCTTCAGCAGCACTTGATTTATTGGATCACATGCTGACGCTGGACCCTAGCAAGCGATGCACAGCAGAACAGACCCTACAGAGTGACTTCCTTAAAGATGTGGAGCTCAGCAAAATGGCTCCGCCAGAGTGAGTGCTGGTGGCTTGTAGGGACCTTCTACCTCCCCTAGGACTCAAAATAATAGTTTTATTGAGCAGCTCAAAATAAGCATTTAAAAGAACCACAAATAGCTAAGTCTCAAATGAAGGCATGTCCTTGAATATTATGGTTGATAGAGAAGTTTGTTTTATTGTTTTAAATAGTGTTCACTTTAGCTATAATTTTTGTTCTAATTTGCTCTAATCCCCCAAATACTGCCCTGTACAAACCTCTTTGAAAGTGTTCTTGTTTTTGCTCTTACCCATTCCATCTGGTTAAGTCACTTAAATCTGTGGTAACTGTTATTTTCTCAGTCTTAATTCTACATAGTTTGTTTGCATCACTGTCAGCTCATTGAATTTTGATATGAAAAATAAGATCTTTGTGTCTCATTTTCATTGTAATCTTATGCAGTTCTTGTATTATGTAGGATATGCAAAAGTGTCCCCATATTCTGGCACCAAGAAAGTCTATAATTTATCTTCTTTTGTTGTTGTTGCCAGGGATTGAACTCGGGTTCTTGCGCTTGCGCATCAGGCAGCAAAACCACTGAGCTAAATCCCCGGCCCTATAATTTATCTTTGAATTTATCACTGACAGTATTGTAGCTTCTGGTTTGTTTTTTTTTTGCATTTTCTTTCTTTAGAACAACAGACTGCATGCCTTGAAGAAATGGATAGGGTGTACATGCATAGGTGGTACTATAAAGCTGATTATGCCAAAGAAACGCCCCCATTCATTTCTCACTAAAATTTTCATATACTGAATGTGGTTGAAATACCTAACCTTTTTACTAAAATTTATAAACTCCTATTACAGAGATTTTTGTCATAAGATTTGACTGACTTGTGATTATATTACTGAGTATGGGAAAGTCTGGAAATATACCAAACAATACATAGTGCTAAACTCCATAGATGAAAAAGTTAATAATATTCAGTCATGGAGATTTGGTGGGCAGAATGAGGAAAGAATAAGTCTTTGGTCCTCATTGACCGAATAACAGATTTTGCACAGAGGCAATTTAATCATGATATATTTATATGGTTCCAAGATTTAAATCACCACCTTTCCTAGACTTTTTATCTTTGTCTTTTTATTTATTCCCAGCTGAAGTTTGACCATCTCTTTGACACTTTTTTTTTATACTAGGGATCAAACCCTGGGTGCTCTACCACTGAGCTACATCCTCACCCCTTTTTATTTTTTATTTTGAGTCAAGGTCTCTCACTGTTAAGTTGTTCAAGTGAGACTAGAACTTCAGCTTCCCTTAGTGGTGGGATTACAGGTGTGCACCACCACACTCAGCTGAATTCTGTTTATTTGTTTTTTTCTTATTATGTCAAAAAAACCAGTATTTGACTAGAATATAGGCATTCATATAGCACTGTATCTCTAATATTAGCAAGATTCTCATTTCTCACTATAAATCTTCTGGACTTGCAGACTTATTTCCTCAGGCTCCCATCTGCCATAATTCTTTATATCCTGCTAAACTCCTCAGTAACTTTTATGTTTTCCTTATTATTTCCACTTTCCATATTGTTTGCTTTCTTATTTTAATCCCTTATCCCTTTGTTCACTCACTACTGCATTCCTGTTTACTTTGTCTTTTTCTAGCCTCCCTCACTGGCAGGATTGCCATGAATTATGGAGTAAGAAACGGCGACGGCAGCGACAAAGTGGTATTGTAGTAGAAGAGCCACCTCCATCCAAAGTTTCTCGGAAAGAAACTACCTCAGGGACAAGTGCTGAGCCTGTGAAGAGCAGTAGCCCAGTACCACCTCAGCCTGCTGCTGGCAAAGTGGAGCAGCCCGGGACTGGGGATTCAGTAGGTCAGTGCTGCAGTGGGGCCTTTGTGCTTCTATTTTCTTTACTTAGCACATTTTGGCAGATTTTGAAGATCAAGTGCAAGGAGTGTGCATGCGCATGTGTGTTGTATCTTTTATACATCAGTGTAGGCCTTAGGAAAGAGGCCTCCCTTGTCCCGTGAGGCCTTAAGAAAGAGGGTTGTCATTTTTTTTTTGTATTGGAGATCGAACTCGTGCTTGCGAGGCAGGTGGCAGAACCACTGAGCTAAATCCCTGGCCCAAGGTTGTCTTCATTTATGGGGAGAGCATAAACCAAACCATGTTTGGTACATACAGTTAACAAAGTCCGTGGTAGACCATTTTCCTTCCTAGACGTAAGGAATACTGTGTGGCACAAATCATTGAATTAGGTAAGCAAAATTTAAGGCTAGTTCACCCATGTCTTTCAAATTCACATAATTTAGAGCCACATTATGTTAGGTTTGATAAGATTTTAGAATCCAGTGTTAAATTATAATTACTTTGGGTCTGTGATGGGGAACCTTTTAAAGACCGAGTCCCCAAACTGCAACCCAGAACCCACTTACTTATCACAGAGTGCCAACACTGCAATTAAATCTGAATACTGAGGTTTTAGTTTAGAAAAAACAACTGTTACCTGATGCTCAGCTACTAGGGCGACTTGGCTCGCATGCCCACTGCAGCACGTGTGCCATAGGTTCTCTACCACTATCGGTAGTTAGTCCTGTAAACTCTTACTTGTTTGGGGCGTTTTTTTGGTACCGGGGATCAAACTCAGGTCCTTCCACTTGCAAGGCAGGCAGTGGAACCAATGTAAACTATTATTTGATCTAAAAATATTTAAAACTGTGTCATAATTATTATTATAATGAAATACTTATGTAGTACCACGAATTTTTCTGAACTGCAAATATTTTTCTGACTTGCTTTCTGTTCCCCATCCATGTACAGTAGTAGTTCTCCACATTGGCTACACATTAGAATCAACCAAGAAACTTAAAAAAAAAAACCCTCAAACACAATGCCAGATTTCTAGGGATGAAGCATGAAGCATCTGATTTGTTTCATTGAGATGAGGTCTTACTCTGTAGCCCAGGCTGGCCTCAAACTTGCAGGCCTCCTGCTTCATCCTCCCACATGCTGGTATTACAGGCATGTACAACCGTACCCTGCTTGAAATTTAAAAGCTTAGTAATTCTTATGTACAGTAAAGGTTGAAAAATCACTGACCATGAGGATTACAGAAAAAATGAAATCACTTTCACACAGAGATTTTTTAATCTCTGTATTTTTAAGCCAAAGTATAAAGATTAACAACCTATGTCCTGACAATTTGAGACATGAAAAATGAGATACTCAAAGTAAAACATCATTCTTTAGATATTATAAGTTGCTGTTACCAGTTGAAGAAGGCAAGGGGCCCCTGCCCTACCTCATCCTCTTATATTGGCTCCACTGTCTCCCCACAGGCCTTGGTGACATCACACAACAGCTGAATCAAAGTGAATTAGCAGTGTTACTGAACCTGCTGCATAGCCAAACTGACCTGAGCATCCCTCAGATGGCACAGCTGCTTAACATTCACTCTAACCCGGAGATGCAGCAACAGCTGGAAGCCCTCAACCAATCCATCAATGCCCTGACAGAAGCCACTTCCCAGCAGCAGAACTCAGAGCCCATACCCCCAGAGGAGTCTTTGAAGGAACCACCCCCTGCTCCAGCAGCCCTGCCTTCAGCAGAACAGACGACCCCTGAAGCTTCAAGCACACCAGCTGACATGCAGAATATGTTGGCAGTTCTCTTGAGTCAGCTGATGAAAACCCAGGAGCCAGCGAGCAACATAGAGGAAAACAACAGTGACAAGAATAGTGGGTCACAGGGGCCCCGAAGAACTCCCACAATGCCACAGGAGGAGGCAGCAGGTAAACAGACCGGTCATGAATCTCATTGAGCTCAGGTGCTGTTGATCCTCTTAAAAATCTCTAACATTTTATTTTTCACATCAATGACCTCCGTTTCAGTTTTTCTGTAACCTAGTCTACAGGAGAACATTGCACCAAGGTGATGTATTTCTTAGCCAACTTCTTTTATTTAAGTCTCAGAGCTTCTCAAAGCACCTTCCATATACTGATTGTTTTTCCACTTTGTAGGATGTAGGTAAGTAAAACCCCTTTGTTCTAACCAAGGAAACCACAGCCATGGCTAGTAATGTGTCTTGAATCACTGTGTGTGTGGTACCCGGCTGGTCCTAGAACAAACTGTTGTCACATTGTATTTCCTTACTTCTAGTGGAGTGGATGCTGGATATGGGAGTCTTACCTGGAAGATCCAGTCAAGAAAACCCCAATAAAATTATCACTTTAATTTCTTGAAGAACAATTTGGGAACAGCTCTAAGTAGATAATTAACACCATATATTTCCTTTCAAAAAATAATAGCATACAAAAACGATTCCTTTAAGTATGTGTTCCCTGAAAGAAACAATGGAATGGACCCCAACATTATAAAAAAGAAAAAAAAATCTGAAAAAAATATTATACCATGATCTCACATGACCACAGCATGCAATTTATTAGAGAAAAAAGAAGTTCAAATTCTCTCATGAATTTTGATTCACAGTGTTATTTGCAAAATCTGTCCTGTTTTCAACTCCTTGGAAATTTTCACTGTCTATGAAGACCCCATGAATTGGGGAATAAGAAGAGGCACAGGGCTGAAGAGGTTCACTAGCCCTTCAACTCTAGGGACCTGCGTTCACATTTCATGTGGAATAGTGCAGAAAATACATGCTTTATTTTCAGTAGTCTAAGGTCATTTTTCATATATGAAAATACTTAAAAGTGGAAGGTAATAAAGAAAATTAGTCCCTTACTTTACAAATAGGAAAACCACAATCCAGGGAATTTAGATAAGTTTGGCTGTAGCCCTTTGGCAAAAACTGGAGCTCATGTGCTTCCTTATTACTTTGCCACACTGTCATGAGCAGCTGTTTCTAAGAGACTCCAGGGCCTGGAGTAACAGGACAGGCTACATAGAAGTAAAGCAGCAGCCTCTTTGTCTCATCACTCAGGTTCTGACTCCTCCCTCCTCCACCCACTGAGAAAGATTCAGCTCTATTGAAAATGCCTGAAAGAAGTGGGTCAAACTAAATAGCGTAGTGATTGGAAGAAATCCTCTCAATAATTGAACCAGCAGACTGTCAGCCACCTAATGAAATGGAACTAAAGCTGAGGCCTGACTGACCTATGGTCAGAAATTGTTGGATTAACTTTTCAGAGGATAACATAAAATGCACAGCTAATTATTATAGACTTTCCCTCTTCCTCGATGCCTCTTCCCTGGCCATTGCACTGTTCATTAGCACTTCCACCAGAGGGCAGACTGTAAGCCTAGGTGACAGCCTATCAGTTTGGCTACTCTTCAGTTATTCTGTACTTGTTGGGAAAGGGCAGTGGTTGAAATCTTAATAAATTTTAAAAAGGTTTTAAGTTATTTTTACATTTACTTAATACCTCCCTGCATTAGTACAAAACTGTTAAAGATTGACAACATTAACAATTTAAATCTTACAACAATATGATTTGTAATTCATATTTTTTAATTCCTTTAAGAAGTTTTAACTTTAGTCCTTTACAATCCATCTGTGTTGCTATTTTGAAATAGAATTTTCATTTGATATATGTGAATTTGAGCCCAAGAATTAATTCTGTTGAAACACACAATTAGGCCATTTACATAAAAGATAAAGTTTAAATATGAAAAGTAGTGTAGTTGGAAAATGTAAGTTTAAATTTGCCCACTTTTGAAGTTATGCATTTTTAAAGTTGTTTGCCCTCAGTGTTAAAACCCCTGGTGTTCCATTGCATGTGTAATCCCCACATACTTTTAAATGACTGGGTACTTTAATGTCCTTAAATAGTAAAAAGAAAGATATGTGGTGTTGACAGCAAAAGGCTCTGAAATCATAGGTGCTTATAGTCCATTTAGCATGTCAGGGTATCTACTCTTCAAATTGTGAATTTTCCATAGCTAATTTTCTGTCCTTAAATTCATTTTCCCCTGCTGCCCACCACCCAGGCCATCAGTCAACAAGTAATTTGCTGGGTATACTACATATAAGATGAACAGCCTGTCCCTGGACTGTCCTGGTTTTAAAACTGATAGTTGGCAACTTTGGAACCCTCTCAGTCCTGGGAAAACTGAGACCGTTGATCAGCCGCCTTGTATATTATATATAGCACCTAACACTTATCCTTACACTGCACAACCTAAGATTTTATATAGCATTTCCAGAATGCTTTCATCTGCATGCTTAGGGAATGCAAACTTAGTGTTTTTGTAAAATAAAATCAAGGTGAATATGCTAATTATGAAAATAATTATAACAAAAAATTGCTTTCAGCTTATCTAATGATTTCATACCACTGTTAGCTCAAAAATGTTAGAATGACTGAATATTTTAAAACATGCTTCCATGGGGAAAACATGGGAAAAGAAAAATCAGTCATTTAGAAGATGTTCCAAGCCTTTTCTTAAGCAGGGTGAGTCCCAGCTCTCTGAAGACACTGTTCTGACCCTACTTCTGTCTCAGTGGTTTTGTACATCCTCAGTCTCACACCATTTTACGTCTCTTCTCTCCTGCCTTTGCAGGAGTTCATTATCAGACAAATGATTGCCATGATTAGGCAAATTTAAACAGCAGTGGAGAAAAGAAAGTCTGGGGAAGTGTTTCAAGAAAGACGTGCTCAGCTGGTGGCACACGCCTGTAATCTGAGCACTCCGGCGGCTGAGGCAGGAGGAGTGCTGAGAATTCGAGGCCAGCCTGAGCTACAGAGTGAGACCCTGTCTCCAACCACCCCCCTCAAAAAAAAAAGATGTTAGTGAAGACTGATTAGTTCCTAAATACTAAGTTCTTTACACTGTCGTAGGATAAACAAATGTTCATCAGCAGCCCATTTTGCATGACACTATTATAGTGAATTTTTTTTTTATAGAATGAAAAAAAAAATGCAAAAGGTAGGAAAATAAAACAGAAAATTATGGTATGCTACTTTAAAATCACTGTTAATGAAGGAAGTTGAATGCCACTGTGGTTGTTAGTATCCCTTTCTTGAGAATATGATTAGGGGGACCAGCGACTGAAGTTTGGAGAAGCAATTATATATGATGGTGATGAGAAAGTTTCACTTTATTTCATCTCTCCTGTACATTAAGTTTTACTTCAGGTTAACCTTATATCATCAAATGTTCTGTAAATGTGTTAGCCAAGCCTGTGCTAGGTCTTGGTTGTACAACAAGATCGTGTCCTAGAAATGTGACCACATCATGTGTATTGTTCCCTGTCCTTCTGTCTGCTTTATCCTCAATAACGTTTTGATCTAACAGCAACAAAGGAATGGTGAGGTTGCCAACAGTCTACATTAGAACAGTTCTTTAAGGAAGGAAATGGAGGAAATCTAAGACAATCAGGACGATGGTTTGAAACATATCATCCTTTTACACCAGCTATTAGATCCAGATGCAAATGTTTTCAAAACTTGATTTTAGTTATAAATTACAGTTTTCTGATCCCAAGATTTTATTCTTTATATATTTGCTAATTTGTATTGATACTTGTTTATGTTGGGCAGTGTGCGTGTATGTGTGAGTGTGTGCGAATAATCACATGTGATTTTTAAGATGGTGTTTAAAAGAAGTAACCCTTCCACAGCATGTCCTCCTCACATTCTTCCACCAGAGAAGAGGCCCCCTGAACCCCCTGGACCTCCACCGCCGCCACCTCCACCCCCTCTGGTTGAAGGCGATCTTTCCAGCGCCCCCCAGGAGTTGAACCCCGCCGTGACAGCCGCCTTGCTGCAACTTTTATCCCAGCCTGAAGCAGAGCCTCCTGGCCACCTGCCACATGAGCACCAGGCCTTGAGACCAATGGAATACTCCACCCGACCCCATCCAAACAGGACTTACGGAAACACAGATGGGCCTGAAACAGGGTTCAGTGCCACTGACACTGATGAACGCAGCTCTGGTCCAGCCTTGACAGAATCCTTGGTCCAGACCCTGGTGAAGAACAGGACCTTCTCAGGCTCTGTGAGCCACCTTGGGGAGTCCAGCAGTTACCAGGGCACAGGGTCAGTGCAGTTCCCAGGGGACCAGGATCTCCGTTTTGCCAGGGTTCCCTTAGCATTACACTCAGTGGCCGGGCAGCCGTTCCTGAAGGCGGAGGGAAGCAGCAACTCTGTGGTGCACACAGAGACCAAATTGCAAAACTATGGGGAGCTGGGGCCAGGAACCCCTGGGACCAGCAGCTCAGGAGCAACCCTTCACTGGGGGGGCCCAGCTCAGTCTTCTGCTTATGGAAAACTCTTTCGGGGATCTGCAAGAGTCCCACCAAGAGGGGGACGAGGGAGAGGAGTTCCTTACTAACCCAGAGAGTCCATTGTCCTGAAAGTTCCTTCCCTGTCCATCTTTCCATCCAGTCCTCTGAACGTTTAATGAAATCATTTGCCAGAGTGAGGTAATTATCTGCATTTGGCTACTGCAAAGCTGTCTGTTTTATTCCTTGCTCACTTGCAACTAGCAGGCGACTTATAAAATAATGATGTTGGCACCAGTTCCCCGCCGATGGGCTATAGCCAGAACATTTCCTTCAGCTCTACATAGGAGACAGTAGAGAATATGGAGAGGGTCGTTCAACTGAAAAGTAAATGTGTTAGCTTATTGCCTGCACTTCTTGAGCAGAAGAGAGAAAAGTTTCCGTTTTGAGATGGCTCAGGCTCTTTGATTTTTAAAATTTTGTGGGTTTGTTTTGTGATTTCTTTCTTTTGAATTTTAATACAGTTTTCCCCCCTTTAAAGAGCATAGTGTTCACAATATTTGAGCTGCTCTTAGGCTTTTGCTAGAAGGGAAGCAGAGTGGCCTGGCTGATTTAAATAAATGTTTCCTTCCTCTCCACCATCTCACATTTTAGTTTATAAGTGAACACTCCTCTGTCCCCATTGAGCATCTTGAATATAACTTTTTTCCAAATAAATTACTCATTCTTAAAGTTTGCTCCATTTTGACAAAAGCTATGCCTCCTCCCTGCACAATAAAGCAGGTTTTAGAAAATGGCATTCTTGGGCAAGCAGGTAAACTTTACCCAGTATCTTTGCATTTCTGCTCATCTTCTCTACTTCCCCTCCCTCACTCCTTTCTTCCTTTCTCCAGTCTTCTCTTTCTCCCTCCTCCTTGCTCCTCCCTTCTTCTCCTTCTCCTTCTTCTTCTCCTTCTTGAGGCATTTGTTTGGAAAAAAAAATTGAGATGCCCACAAACCTGGAATAATTCTTTACTTTTTTTTTTAATAAAAGAAAGGAAATTCAAAATCCTACATTGTTCTCTGTAACTCTTCAATTCTAAAATGTTTTGTTTTTTTAAAAACCATATTCTGATGGGGAAGTTGATTTGTAAATATGGACAGCATAGGACATTGCTACTGAAGTGTGGTTAGAGATGATGCCTCTATCTGCCTAGAGGGCTAATGGGAGTTAGCATATTGTTTACACATATATTTTTATGTCAAAACAAAAAACCCTCTGAAACAGCATTGTGATATTGTCAAAGAAAAAAGAAACATCCTGAAAATACATGGAAATGTAATCTAGTTTAGAATGGATATTTTTCTGAAGCTCTATCAATACCTGATAGCCTTTAAAAATAATAATATGAGAAAGAACAGTATTGACACGTACACATCCTAGCATGTATATCCTGCCAGTTCTTTTAGGGATTTTCCTCCAGTGATTCGGTTTTGGTTTTGGTAAAATGTTAAAGTATGACTTCCTGGCAAGAACTTTGCCTTATCATAAACAGGAAATAGGAAAGAGAAAGCCTCTCAAGGTGGGATAACTTGGGAGGCTTCTCATTCTGACTTCCATTCCTGTGAGTACCAGCATATGGTGTGTTTTAGAAACAGACACATGTCATAGAACTTATCAGCACAGAGTTAGTCCTTTGTGAACTGTAGGTTAACCCACTTTTACAAAGAAAAGGCAAACATGCTGTAGCATCATGGAGAATAGTCTTCAGAACAAGCTTCATGTTTCAATGCCAAGTTATTACATTAAAAATAAAATTACTTATAAGAGAAAGGTGCATTAATTTTAAAAAATCTTTAAAAAAACAAAAGAACCCTCTTCAGATGCTTACATGAAGATTGTTTTCCCATTACTGAAATAGGTAGAGATTGGTGTGTGTATTTCTTTATTATTCTCTGGTTTTTGGTCTGGCCTTGCCCTTGTGGCCAAACACTGATTAGTAAGAGTAAGAGAACTTTCTAGCCATTTTGGCTTTGATGGCTTTTATACCAGTGTGTCAAATTAGATTTACTCAGCACATTGACATGCTGTCAGTAAATTCCATTAGGGTTCATCTGAGTCTTCTCTCTGTGGACTTCTTAGTCTTCAGATATGGCCTTTGTATTTTAGAATATTCAGATTTGAGGTATTGGGCCCCACTGCCCCTGTTTTTCATTAAAGAAGCTGAGCCGTGGATACTTACAAAAGTATCTGTTCAGTGAAAAAGAATTGTTTTCCCATGAAATATGAATAAAATTCTCTGTATATTTTCATTGTATTTTGGTTATCAGCAGTCATCAATAACTTTTTCCCTCCCCTTTTCCCTTATGTTTAATTATGCCAAAAATTCTAAATGATATACTTAAGCTTCCATTCCCCATCCCTCCTAGGGAAGGGGGAACGGGTATATGTGTGAATGTGTGTGTGTGTGTGTGTGTGTGTGTGTGTGTGTGTGTGTGTGTGTGTGTGTATGACCCATCTCATCCCTGGCCCCATTTTGGGAGTCTAACTTTTAAAATTTAAAAAAAAAAACAAAGGAAGAAAAAATATTTTGTTATTTTGGCTCTTTCTAAAAGGCAGAGGAAAAAGTCATTTAAATATCCTGGAATCTGTGTGGAGAAAGAAAAGGTATTTGGTAATTTTTCAGCTATGTTATAAATGTGATCAAAGTAAAAGGTTTGACTGAATAGCAACTTGACTATACAAAAATCACAAATCCAGTTATTCCATTCAAAAGTGGTTTTGATTTTAACTATTGTACCACAAGAGATACTAAGCCTGTTAAGTACATTGTTTTGAACAGATGAGAAATCTGATTGTTCACAAATGAGAAGCAAAACTGGTTTGACTGTGATCATTTTTGTGGTTTTGAAAACAAATTTTCTTGACCCAGTTTCCTTAGTTTTTTCTTCAGCTGTCCATAGGAACGATGAGGACTTGAAAACGACATCAGCTCTATGTTTAAAGCAGGGCAGTTAGCACAAATTTGTAAGGAGGGCTTTTGTTAGCTTATGCCATAGACATCACCCAATCATGTGTGTGTGTGTGTGTGTGTTTGTGTGTGTGTGTAATATGCATATATAGTTAGAGTGCTAAAATGGTTACCAGCAGGTTTTGAGAGAGAGTGCTGCATCCGAAAAGTGTCAGTTGCCACCTCATTCTCCTGATTCCTAGGTTCCTGACACTGTATTCCTTTCTCTCTCTTGTTTTTGCCCCTCACCAGGTGTACCTTGTCTGTGTACAGATATTTTGTAATATATTAAATTTTTTTCTTTTCAGTTTATAAAAATGGAAAGTGGAGATTGGAAAATTAAATATTTCCTGTTACTATACCACTTTTGCTCCATTGCATTTACTTCTAATTTCTATACCCTCTGAGCATATCTCATGTATGAAGGACATTTTTCCTCCACTTTATCTTAGGGCTTCTCTGTCTCAGAATTGCTATAGACTTCATAAACTAATGAAAACAAAGCAAAACATGCTTAGGATTTGAAACGGTGCCTGAAAATGCTAGACTAGAAACTAGAGATTTTTTTTTTTTTAATGAGGAATCCAGAAAATGTGACTTTTTAAAAAGTAGAAAACAGTTACACAAATGGTGGTACCAAGCCATCAAGAGTTGAGCTTCTTGTACCCTGACTCCTCCTGACAGGAGAGGTAAGTGGGTTTGAGCTCAACAGTCTTCAAGGGAAGTTGGTAAGAAACTGCTTAGACCCAAAGAATTGGCCTTATATCAGGCTCCCTGTCATTCCACCCCCACCCGGTTCCCTCGATGTTAACAAGGTCAGCATGCAGATTTGTGTACCTAGCTCTGTTGAGGTTTCCTGGTGTGTTGTCAATCCAGAAAGTGAATCAAAAGTTTTTAAAAAGTTAAAATCAAGTCCCTATTTCTAAAAATCTTTCCCATCTCCACCTAAGGAGTTGTTTACCCTTCTCTTTCCTGGCTTAGAACACTGAGAATAAATATTCCCTTGTAATATTCCCTTGTACTATAATCCTGCCACTTACAACATTTTGGAAGAGCAGATAGAATCCATGGGGGTTGGGGGGAGGAGAAAAGTATCTGGAAGTTGTAAGTGGGGCAAGCATGTTGCACAGGGTTAAGGGGTACACCAGAACAAGCAAAACTGGGAGGAAGTGAAATTCAGAAACTGCTGCTGATAAAGGTTGCCAGCCTGTTTTTGAATCCTCAGAACTTTTGATGTTCCTTTGCCTGTGGGCTGTCATGTCTTCTTGACCCAGAACGAGAATGGGAAGCTAAAGATGGTCCAGTTCCTGGTTAGTCTCCAGAGGAAAGGAATTAGTTTTAGGTCTATATATTGTAAGTTCCTGACTAAGAGTGAACTTCGCCCTGCTAGAGAATATTGTGCCCCTTTACACCAGTGGCTGTCTTCTCAGCTCTGGGACTAAAGGCTGAGGACCTGATGGGGGTGGACTTTATTCAGTGTCATCCCGAAGGCCATTTCTGACTAGAAATCATACTGTTTGGCATGGTGCTGTTCTCCCGGGCAGGCATGCTTAGCTGTGTTGTAAGGCTAACACCTCAAGGAAGTTAATTAGCACTGTTGGTGCTAAAGTAGAGTTTCTGTTTTTATCAAAAGTTTTTCTATAACTTGACTTCTTTTAGCTGTGAGTGACGCTCTTTTCACAATTTAGTCATTGTGCAGGGCTAAGTGGAATGGGAATGGGGAGTTCCTTAATTATGAAATCCATCATTCCAAGGGAGTGGCTGCTGAGTCTTCTGCTTGTCCTAAGAGACAAAGTGAACATTCCTGGATACTGTGGTTGGTTTT